CTTGTTCAGGAGGATATAGAACCAATGCACATAGTGTTCTTAATCTGTGAGAGAATAATACATTTAAGCTACTTTTAGTATGCACTATGTGACACAGCCTATGAAAAAATTGAATTTATATTGCAAACAACTGAAATATTATCCGACTCAACGAGTAAATTTTTCACTCTTTCAAACTCAATATAGGTGTATCATTTTTCTCATATGTCAACATTTGAGAACTTGGTACCTTTTTTTCTTCCATGGTATGCAGTTAAAAATCAACAGGATAGGGTACATTTTCAGAAAAACTAAGCCATACCATACTAGGATACACAGGCATAGTTTGATACAAAGGGGTGCTCGTATTTGATGCATAGATTTTTAAGTTTTTAACCAACTGTAAGCATAGGGATGAGAGAGAGAGAGGACTAACCATCAGGAGATTCCAACACCTTGCAGCGCTTTCTATTAGGCGCCTTCCGTGCTGCATCTTGATTTCTACCTTTCCGCTGTTTTTTCTGAGGGCTCTCATCTGACATCCAACAAAACAAATATTCATCAATTCTCATTCACAGTGTAGCAAATAAACAAGGAAAACTTGACTACGAATGGGCCAGTGAAACACTTGAAGAAATGGCAAGAATATTGTATGGGGTTGACATACCAACCAAAGTAACTTCATCCTTGCTACCTGGATCCAACCCAGTTGTCTCTTTATTTGAAGATGGCTACATGAAGGTTGATTAAAGAAATCAGTATTTTGCATATCAGGAAAGATAACAGAACAGCAGATGTGCTTATTAATCAAATATATAGCATATAAGTTGAACCAAACGACCGATCTAGAGTCTGAACTAACACGAAAAGTAAACATAGTCATCACCCATTGTTGCAACTGAGAGCATGTGCATGCCACTGGTTGCAACTGACCATCTACGGGGTTTTTTCTTCTCTATAATGTTTTTGTTTGGTAGCTTATCACATTGGCAAATTCAATTTATCCACTTCAGATAATTTGGATGGCATGGACAGTTTAGTCAAAGCCATCCAACAGAGATAGATGGTAAAATTTACTGGTGGAAAGAAAAGAACTAACCTGTGCTGTATCCTTTCTAAACTATTCTCTTGAAGATTAAATGGGTACACAGTGAAAGGGTGGACACTCCTTAAGTAAACAGTAAGCAGAGAGTCAACATATTCAATTCACTTAGCTTAGTTATGCGCAGTTGTTTTGACTCCACAAAGAAGGTAGAGCATTAGAGGCGCCCCTTTTTCTCTGTTTGATTTGGGAAATGTGGAAAGTTGGCAGCTCCATACAAGTACATATGCATGGTGATGGGAAGAGACATACTTGATAAGAATGTTCTTGATGGAACAGGCAGCGCTACTAAAAGCCTAAGATTACAACCCTTCAGGTATGATACTTGCTAAATTTGTAGCACAAAAATTAGCAAGGCATAGGCACAGCATGCAAAAGAGAGGAGTCTTGATTGCGGGGTAGACTTATCTTCTGTACTTAATATGCAGTGCCTGTCATCAAATAAAAGGAAGGGCAATGTAAAAGCTTCTTTGATACCTAGGGGTGGAAAATGGATGTTCTGTTTTAGTCGATACTAAGAGTCCCTAAAACGCGAATGGAAAGAAAAAAACCAGCATTCAAATGAAACATGACTACTGTGTGGATTTTTTTGCTGTGTAGAGTGCGATGTGCAATGGGAAATGACGCCAATTTCCATATTCACATCAAGACTGGGATCAGCAGCCCAGGTACTCTACAGGTTACGTCAGACTGGACATTTGATGTATGGGCCTGTTTGGATTGCTACCAAAGCTGACCCTGCCAAAAAATTGGCTAGCCCATGCAATTTGGTAGCTGTTTGGATCTGCACCAAAAAATTGGCTCGCCCGACTTGCCCAGCGCCTCTCCATGTAATTCTCGCCAACGCGTGGGCGTCACGAGGGCGCGAGAAAGCTGCGCCAATATTTTGGCGCTGTGACCCTGGTTGTTATGGTGGGCCCTGCCGCATGCATGCAGTTAGGATAAGCCTTTTTTTGCTGTAACCAACCAGCGGCGCTTCTTAATTCAAAGATATGCGGACCTGTGCGTGATTAGCAACCGCATGCAGCAATTCTTCAGCATCCAAACAGTAGCAAAACGAAGTGCATGCAGCATGCAGTGTCATTCTTTTGGTGACTTCTGTTAACATTGATTAAATATAAGTTTTCTACAGAAAAAACACATCTAAGTATTGAAATGTATTTCTTCTCAATTTTGTAATAGATGCAGTTAAATATTTTTGGACTAGCATAATCGTCATGCCAGTTGGTCGCAAACCAAACAAAGCAACGGTCTCACTTGCCAAAATTTTGGAGGATATGATGGTCAGAATCCAAACACAAACAACTTGCCAAAATTTTGGTCATGCCAAAATTTTGGTAAGGCAAGTTGGGGCTCAAACCAATCAGCCCCTATGTCTAACGCTAACCTTATCCCAGACTAACCCAACCCACATACAGTGATGTACGTAGCTTTAAATCCGTCATGCCAGCCCATTTGTTTCAGATCAAAGTGATGTAGCTTGAATTTCAATTCTGTAATTTAGCTATTATAGACACCGACGACAAACTTCCTGCCATGCTCATGTTGTATTAATGCGAGCAGAAAATTGGTTCAGATTCGTACTACCATTTACAGGTATTCAACAATATTCAAATTGATACTAATGTGGTAGAGTCACTACTCGATCTGTTTGCACCTCTACTTATACTACGTCGCTTCAGCCCAACAAGGTATAAGAAGTTATGTGCATTCCAAACTATTTAAAATTGAAAATCAGAAGGAACTTATTTATCAACACGGAAGCGGGCACAGAGAAGCCACAATTTCAACACGGCGGGCGAATTAAAGTAGTCCAGCTACCGAGCAAACACCAGACAACAGCCGAAACGGGGGCGAATTGTAGCAATGTAGTACCTTCCTGGCGGCCGCTGATCTCCGCGGCCTCGCCTTCCTCTTACCCTTCTCCGGCTCCTCCGCGGCCTCCTTTCCAGACGGCTCCTCGGCGGCTGGCGCGGGAGGGGCAACCCCTCCTCCGCCGCCGCCGCCCGGCCTGCCCGACCCAAACGGGAGCCTCGACTGCACGCACCGCCTGAGCCGCTTGGGCGACGGCTTCGCCGGTGACGGCGTGGGCGTCGGCGCCGGCTTCGCCGGTGACGGCGTGGGCGTCGGCGCCGGCTCCTCAGGATCAGCAGATCCGCCCATCGGAACGGGATCGAGCGGGGAACCGGGGCTAGGGTTTGGGGCTTGGGAGCTCGGAATGACAGTGCTGGGAGGGGCGGGAGATGGGGGTTGGATGGATTAGCTTCACGTTTTTCCCGCGCGGTGGAGCGGACGCGCGCGCAGGGGGGCGGATTTGGGCGGGCGCCAGGGGAGGGAAGAGGTTGGCGCGGCGCACTGCGGCGCTACGGTAAGGACAGAATCGTGAGCAGTAAAGTGAGTATCAGTGGTGGGTTTTTTTAGCTGGGGTATCAGTGTTTTGATCGGGCACGGGGAAACGAACTCAGATTTTTCTCTCCTTTTTTCTGGGAAGTGGGCTGGGAACAAGGCCGACGGCAAGAGCCATTTGGGTAGAAAAGGAAGGCTACACCGCGGGCTTGGCCCATTTACCCAATCCCCCTGGTGATAGAATTTTTATTTTTTTTATTTTGACTGCTAATCCTGGATTGCCTAATTTGGCAGCAGTATTTTTAAAACCGTGGTAATGTAAAGCCTCAGGGTAAGTTTGGGAGCAAAGTAATTTTGAAGTTTTTAAAAGGGTGTGTCTAGGTCTCAGTCGACTGAGACTTAACCAAGTCTCAATCAAGCGATATACTCCCTCCGTTCCTAAATACTCCGTCTGTTCCTACATATAAGTCTTTCTAGAGATATCAACAAGTAACTACATACGGAGCAAAATGAGTGAATCTACACTCTAAAATATGTCTATATACATCCGTATGTGGTAGTCCATTTGAAATCTCTAAAAAGACTTATATTTAGGAACGGAGGGAGTATAAGTCTTTTTAGACATTTCAAATGGATTACAACATACGAATGTATGTAGACATATTTTACATATAGATTCACTCATTTTGCTCCGTATGTAGTCACTTGTTAGAATATCTAAAAATACTTATATTTAAGAACAGAGAAAAAAGAAAAACTAAAAATATTTTTTTTATGAATCTCCATGCAAGATCAAAGGAATATACAAGTGACTGAGACGTAAGACTTAGCAAAACTGTTTTTAAAACCGTGGTAATGTAAACCTCAGTATTCCAATGTTTGGGTGATGAATGCTCTATTTTTTAAAAAACCACGGTTTTATAATTTTGGTTTAGAAAAAGACATCAAGACGCCTTTAAAAAATATTGTGGTTTAAAGCTATGTGCCAAATACACCATACAGTAGTTAACAAAACTATGGTTTCTCAAAAGGGAAAAGCTTCTAAACAACACAATATTCTAGAAATACTGCAAAAATACTTGGCTGTCAAACACAGCCTAAAGTTTGGTCTTACCCTAACAAAATGTAATTCTTGGCCAACCCTCTTATATCACAGATCTTTGCTTATAAGAACTGTTTTTGCTATGCTGCTGATTAAAAATATGTGCTTAAATTTTTGTTTTGCTGGTAAGAGTAACCGGTGCCGTCTGAAAGACCCAACCGTGTGTTCAGACGTTCCCTAGATTCAATTATCATCCTGATGTACTTGTAATGTTTGCCATATTTATCAGCAGAATCCAAAGAGCAAGTCCGAGGTTTCACCTAAATAGTTGCCAAAACGAGTCGACCAATACAGGCATACGGAAGAATATCATGAAAGTCGATACTTCAGCATTTGAAATTTTGGAGAGTACATAGTAGTAGCATGACAAAGAGCAACCATACATCATGGCTGGGTTGAAACGTCAGAACTGGAAATCCACAAGGATTTAGTTCGGAACAAGGGCCATGACTAGTTTTGACGACATAAAGCTTAACCTCTCAGCCATGTGTTCCTGTAGGACGAGTTGTCTCGCAGCGAGGCGTCATGTGGCTTGTACTCCATCAGATAGGTGTGTGGCAGCTTCAAGTGCCTCTTAATCGAGTCTCTTAATGTCATCACAGCCTGCAAGGCACAAGAGTATGAGTGAACAAATAACAGAGAGAGAGAAAAAACTTCTCACTGGTGATAACACCGTCAATTCCAAACAACATAGTCAAGAAGCATCAGGTGATGTCACAAACCTGTTGGTCTGATGCATTCCGATTCCAGACGCTCAGGATGTCTTCATTGAAACGACAACTTAGCACAATGCCACAAACATCATCACTATAATCAAGTTGATCACCCACTAGAACCAGCACCTGGACAAATAAACAGGATGGGCGAAAAGAATTAAAATCTAAGCCATGGACAGCTGCAGGACCTATTTAATCCAAGTAATCCTTGTACAAATTGTTAATCAACAGAACACATTCAGGACAATCAGGTATCATTATTGAGGCATTGTGTAACTGAATGACTGTGATCCCATGGATTGAAAAGGGGAAGACAAGCCTTGGTTTGAAATCGCTCCCATGACTGAATAACTGAATGACTGTGATCACATAGAATGAACAGCCACGTCAAAAAGTATGCAAAGCAAAGCATGCCATGCTGAAAGGAGAAAATGGAAACCTAAATGGGCTGCCTAAAGAAGAACACACATGGCATAAACATGTCCTTGGCCGCACAGCAATGGAAAGGAGAGCAGAGAAAAGCAGAACAAAGGCAGGAAATGAAACATGAATGAGCAAAGAAAATCAGAGAGCTTGCTGTGAATGTGGCATCAACGAAAAGCGGGCATGATAGAGAAAAGAAGATAGTAGCAGAAAATAATGATAAAAAAACCTACTTGTTGCAAGTACAACATAGCATGTAAAATCAGCTAGATGTGAGGGCTCATGGTGGGAGACCAGAATGAGAGTAAAGTCAAACAGTTGCAGTAGGAAAACACAAGGGTGCCATTTCCATTTCATTAGTAAAGCCAATTTATGAGTAAATGTAAATGCAACACATATCTTCCTCTCTCGTACTCATGCAATATCCGCAAGTTTACTCAGACAAATAAATAAGAAGAAACAAAATGATGTTAAACAGGCACTGCATATTAACATGAAGAGTGTGGGATGGGATGTGACAACAACTCATAGAGGGCATCTATGCATCCAAATGTTTCCCATAGCCCTTCGTTTTTAATGCAGCACAAACACAGAATCTCCACTTCCCGAGGCAAACATTCACAAGGTAACAAAGCCAAAGGTTTTGTTTGTGGGAACAATAGCATAGGTACTAATCTTGTTCCATATTTTAAAACCCACTGCGCCCAATTGTACTAGTGATGCATAAATCGACTAATAGGAGGCACGCATGCTATTATTTGCAATCTTTAATTTCATAAATATTGATAGGGAAACTAGACTGCCAAACTAAAATATTTATACACTAAATCAAGTGTTAGAGATAAGGGACTTCAACAAAGAAGATACAAAATTAAAGAAAAGGAAATGGTGATCAAGAAGTATTGCTCAGCAGACATGTTTTTAAGGCGACGTGTTGCTTTAAGGCGCTGGGGGGGCGCCTCGACGCCTAGGCGACGCCTAGGCGCCTAAAGCGGACGCCTAGGCGCCTAAAGCGGACATATTTGCAAAGCGCTGGGGGGGCGCCTCGACGCCTAGGCGTCGCCTTAGAGACGCCTTAAAAACATAGGCATATGGCATGCATGCTTAAGAAAGCAGTCGACTGTCACCGCAGAAAAGTGCATCTTGGAAGGCTGCTAATTCATCTATGGATCAGCGTCAACTTCTTCTATGCTGAACCATTTGCTTCAAATCAGAAGTGCACACAGTAAACATGAAATAGCAATAATACTACCTCAGATCTCAGGCTTATGTTGGTACGGGTAACAGGGAGCCAGACCACAACGCGCTACAAAGCTGTTTGGTTTAAGGGATAGCCTTATACAGGGAGATCTAGGCCCATTATGGGTAATCCCATGTTTTCATGTCATGGCCCTAGTCTCCATCGTTTATTGGCATGGCATAACATCGGTGCATTGCTACGGAACCGCAAAAATGATTCAGTTGTATTGGATTAGTAGTATATAACAACCAATGCACGTGCAACACTGCAGAGAAGAAACTCAAACTCAATCAAGCAGCCAACACTGCACTTGCGTAACTGCGGTAGCAATGAGAGCACCATTGCAACAACAACAACAACAACAACAACAACAACAACAAAGCCTTTAGTCCCAAACAAGTTGGGGTAGGCTAGAGATGAAACCCATAAGATCTCACGACCAACTCATGGTCCGGGCACATGGATAGCAAGCTTCCACGCACCCCTGTCCATAGCTAGTTCTTTGGTGAGCACCATTGCAAGCTATGTTTTTTTTTCTTCAAATTGGAGGGGTCTTGTGGGTTCTAGATGACTGAGGGAGATTGGGGTGGAGTGGGGGAGTGAACTCACCACCACCACTAACTCCAATTTATAAGATAGTAGAGACTATGGTCATGACTCATGAGGAATGCCGCTCTGAAGGAAAAAACAATTCCACTCTATAAACGGAACAAGGACTATCCTGTTTCAAATCTAGACCTAATGTTCCTGTTTCGCTTGAGTAGTGAAATATTTGATCCATCACTAACTCCTCACGGCATCCACATGGTTATAATGCAATCAAAGACCAGTCATGAACAAAATAAAAACATTACTTGAGAATCCCATGATAAAAACTAGTAGAATTTTCCACAAATCAAGTAGGCTAGTGTGTGGTACTTCATGGTGGCACAGGCAAGGGAAGTCCTAGTTGAGGGTTTATAGAACAACAACCGAAGTTTGTATGATGACCAAATCTTACAGCCCAACGAAAGCACAAATAGATTACTTACCAAATCCTCCCAGAAACGCCCAGAAACAGCCTTCTTGAACCGTATAATCCACTTGCCACCATTCCGATTTGCAGGATCCTGCCCAGTCAAATGCATTAACCACTAGAAGCATGGGTAGACATGACACCAATACTAAACACAGCCATGACTGAAAAAACAACAGCTTGTTCCGAGCAATACCTCCCAGAGTGGACGGACACCCTCTTTGAAAAGATGCAGGTCCGTGGGGCTCGGGAGGGAGGACGGGCGTGCGAGGTGGCAGTAGCAAACCCAGAACGACTCGACCTAAAGCCATCCAATTCCAAACAGCAACATCAATCAGTAAGCTCCACTGACAGAAGTAAGAAAAAACCCTGGAAACAATCTGCTGTGCCGGAGACACGTACAGTGCTGAAATCGACGATCTTTTTGATGTTGTCCTCGTACGACTGCGACCTCGTCCCGGGCGTCCGGCGGGTGTACCAGAGCACGAGCTTGCGCTGCGGACAACAAGGGCTATTACATCCGGCTTTCTCTGAGATTCAAAGGTTTGGCATTTCTGGAACGGGAAACGGGGAAAAGGTTTAGATCTAGCGGCGGGGGGCGGGTCTTACCCTAAGGGGATGGAGGCCGGCCTTGAGCTCGCGGCTGCGGCGCTCGCTCTCCTCCGCCTCCGCCTCGTCCTCCTCCTCGACGGCGGCGGGCGGCGCGTCCTCGGCCCGGGCGTGCGACGGCTGCAGCTGCTCCTCCTGCTCGGGCACCTTCCTCTCCACCGCCGGCTCCATGGCGCGCCCTCGTGCGGCGATTTGGTCGGCTGGGTGGGGGTGTTCAGAGAGAGAGAGAGACGAGGAAGGGTCCGGGAGACGCGTGACGGGGGGGTGGGAGTGGGTTTGGGCCTTTTTGGTGCGGAGCTCTTCGATCGGGATGAACCGTGCCAGGGAGCGCTTCTATTTTCCTCTTCTTTTTTCTTTTTTTTTTACCATATAGTACCATGGTAAACGATTTACTACGACCGATCGACTTGTAGAGCTTTTTTTCACCAGGCGCCTCGTCATGCGATGGAAATGAGCCAATTCAAAGACGACACGTGCTCTCGTGGTACAATCTTATCTCTTTCATTTCTCTCTCCCATCGTCTGCCTTCGTCAATCACCTCTCGCGTGATGCATCTTTTTCCATCTTACACGAGATAGCTCCTCCGGTGTCGAGGCTTGCGTCCAACCTTCTCCCTATCGTGGTCAGCGGAGCCATTGCCCACATGTCCTTCCCGCTCCGCCCTGTCCACGGCTACGACCTAATGCAAAAAAAAAATCTATGATCTTGCAACCGGGAGCAATGGTATCGAGCTATTCGCCGGGGACTTCATCCAGGTGGCGCATCAGGCAATTGATTAGCTGGGAGTTGATTTGTCGGCCGAGAAAGTTGCCTTGGCCGAGAGCGGTCGGGGCCAAGATGAGGCATGGAAAGCCTTCCATGACCATGCCGAGCGCGCCCGGAAGGAAGACGAGGTCGCACATGAGAAAGCCGCCAAGGCTCTGGCGCAAGCCAGAAGATCCGGGGTGGCGCAGTTATGGACGCTCAGGGTATCCTAAGCGCGCCCGTTGTCGGAGCTAAGTCCGACAGATCTCGGGTAAGGGGTCCCGAGCTGGTGGTCTTGGCTAGATAGTAACATGAAGAATAGGGATGCGGTGTTTACCCAGGTTTAGGCCCTCTCGAAAAGATAATACCCTACTCCTGCTCTTGTTTATATTTTGTGATGGAGTACAAAGTACACGTGATCTACCTCGAGATCGGATGAATGAGTCTAAAAGTCTTGCCTCTACGGGCTAAACCCCTTGGCTTATATAGGGGTCAGGGGGTACCTAGGATTACACATGGTCGGTTGCATCAAGAGATAATCCTGTTGAATATTTGAATATGTCTTGAAGTGTATGCCAAGTCTTTGAAAGATTCCATCTTGAGTACGCTGAGGGTTATGTGAAAGTGCAACTAATCCCCGGGTGGTTTTGGTAATTCATAACAACATATAGCTCGTTGAACTAATATCTATTCAAGTTAAATATTTCAGAAAGTTCAATGATTGGCATGGCATGGACTAGAGATGTAGACCCCTCAAAATGCTAAGGACAAATATTGGCAAAAGCTCAAGACTCTTCATTTCTATTTTTAGTGATCCAAGATCACATTGAGTACATAGGAAAAGACAACACTATTAAAAGGGGATGAGGTGTTGCTTAATGATCTACTTGATCAAAATGCTTAGTGATATGCTCCAAAGCCCTCAACCACTTTCTCAATTCCAAATATGTCCAAAACCTAAAGTCAAACCCGTCCCCACTTATTTGATCTATCTGGCACCACCGAGTTCCTTTGACATAGCCACTGCCAGAAACCCTAATCAGTTCGGTCTCACCGATAGGGATTTCGGTCTCACCGATAGGGATTTCGGTCTCACTGAGATGGGATTGCAAACTCTGTGTTTCCCTTCGTAATGTTTCGGTCCCACCAAAATGAGCCATCGATCCCACCGAGTCGCAATGCAAACTCTCTGTTTCCCTTCGTAACGTTTCGGTCTTACCGAAGTGAGCGATCGGTCCCACCGAGTTTGCCTGACCAACTTTCGATTTGCTCATTGCAGAAATCGGTCCCACCGAGTTCATGTAATCGGTCACACCGAGATAAGGTTTTGCCCTAACCCTAGCGCATCGGTCTCACCGAGTTGATCATCTCGGTCCCATCAAGAATCCTAATGTTCAAATTTTGAACTGAATCAGTCTCACCGAGTTCACCTATTCGGTCTAACCGAGTTGGGTCAAATGTGTGTAATGGTTAGATTTTGTGTGGAGGCTATATATACCCCTCCACCCCTTCTCTATTCAAGAGAGAGCCATAAGAACGTGCCTACACTTCCACTACTCATTTTTTGAGAGAGAACCATGTAAGTGCATCTAGTGCCACCCCTAGTTGGTTTTGGAGTATTGACGACAAATCTAGTTGAGGGACTAATGTGTTTGTGAGAATTGCAGGATAACACAGGTAGAAGTCCCTCATTGATTCGGTTTTCCTACCAGATATGACCCCTAAAAATGTATGAAGACATTGAAGTCAAAGGTGGTATATGAAGATATTCACATTGAAGACTATGACAAGAGAAGACATCGCATGAAGCATATGGAGCTCGAAGACTTAGATCTTTTGTAGTTCTCTTTCTTCTTCTTTGTTGAGTCATAGGAACCACCGTACTGTTAAGTGGGGTCCAAGAGAACCAGTCAGAATGACTGAAGTGATGCTTAACCAAAACCTATGTCTTCGAGTGAAGACTATGAGAGCGAATCTTGTCCGGAGTCGGACAAGTCAGCTTTGCTTGTAGCCCAAGTAAAGTTGCCGTGTGAGTTTGAAATCTGACCGTTGGAACACGTGTCGGTTCCTTAGTGACTCAGGGTCATTTCAGACAAATCAGGTCGGGTTGCCTAGTGGCTATAAATAGCCCACCCCCTACAACCAAAAACGGTTGGCTGCTCGGAGTGAGTATACGACTTTTGTCGTTTGAGATTAACCCACCTCAAAGCTTTTGAGAGAGAATTCCTTGCGAGGATAAAGCCCTAACCACCCAGAGCCAAAGAGAATTAGGCATCACCTAAGTCTTCTTGTCTGTGTGATCTGAAGACTTATTACACTTGAGGACTGTGAATCCTCCAGCCGGTTAGGCGTCGCGTTCTGAGCATCCAAGAGACATTGTGGATTGCCGGTGAACGAAGTCTGTGAAGGTTTGGGAGTCTACCTTGAAGACTTACCAGAGTGATTGGGCGAGGTCTGTGTGACCTTAGCTCAAGGGGAATACGATGAGGACTGGGTGTCCTGAGCTGCGTGTTCAGGACTGGGTGTCCGGGACTGTGTGTCCTCAGGTTTAAATACCTAGCCGCCCTAACCAGACGTACAGTTGTCACAACAACTGGAACTGGTCCAACACATCATTGTCTTCAACGAGTCACTGGTTTCATCCTTCCCTTCTCTTTACGTACTGTTACTCCTTGTGAAGTCATTGTATGATTGCACTATCTTTTATCTTCACTGAGTGACTGCGTGTTCTGTTTGGCTTCATAATATCTTCCTACCTGATCCTTACTACATTGCTGCTATTAGTCATTGTGCTTTCACTCTATGAATACTTGACTATGGCTTGCCTAGTGTAGTCTACCTTCCGCTGCAGGGTAATAGGTTTATTTCTATCGTTAGTCTTCATAATTTCCACGTTTTGAAGATTTTCATAAAAATCGCCTATTCACCCCCCCCTCTAGTCGATATAACACACTTTCAATTGGTATCAGAGTAAGGTACTCCCTTGTTCTGTGTGATTCGGTTTAACCACCTGGAGTTTTAGCTATGTCGACTGCAGGGATAATCAAAGTCTCCATTGCGTGCCCCGTCTTCGATGGAACTGAATATCCCTACTGGAAGAATAAGATGCGCATGCATCTTGAAGCCATTGACATCGACCTATGGTATGTCGTCAAGAACGGCGTTCCCAAGGCTGGAAAAGGTGTCACTGCTGCTGACGTCAAGAAGTTCGTTCAACTGGACTCTACTGCCAAGAATATCATCTGTGGTCATTTGACCAAAGGACAGTATGGCCGCGTGAGTGCTTTGGAAACATCTAAGCTAGTCTGGGACTGGCTCTCCAAGGTCAACGAAGGCGTCTCAACCCAGAGAGATCAGAGAATCAGTGTCCTTCGCAACCTCTTCAACCGCTTCAAGAGAAATGACAATGAGAATGTCCAGCTCACATTTGATCGACTCACTGACATCACGAATGAGCTTCAAGCCCTTGGCGCTACTGAGATCACCAAGCATGAAGTCGTCAAGACACTACTGAGATCACCTGACAGTTTGTTTGACACCCTAGCCCTGATGATCCAAGAACGTCCTGATTTCAAGACACTCGATCCGTCTGACATACTTGAGAGGCTCAACACACATGAGTTTCAGCTTTCTGAGAAAAGAGATATCTACGGTCCAAACTATGGGCGAACTCGTGTCTTGAAGGCAAAAGTTGTCTCCTCATCTGAAGAAGAATCTGACAGCAGTTCTGATGATCCTGAAGACATTGGAAGGGAACTTGCTATGCTTGTGAAGAAGTTCCAAAAATTCACCAAGAAGAAAGGCTTCAGAAAGTCTTCCTGATCAAGCTCAAGGAATGATGAAGCTTCTGCTCATGACTACAAGAAGAAAACATGTCACAAGTGCAAGAAACCTGGCCACTTCATCTCTGAGTGTCCACAGTGGGACAATGAGAACAAAAAGAAGAAGAGCAAGGAATATGACTCTGACGACAAGAAGAAGAAGAAATACTCAAAGTCTTCTTCCAAGTCTTCTTCAAAGTCTTCATCACATAAGAAGAGCTCATCTGGCAAGGCACGTGCATTTGTTGGCAAGGAAATGGATTCAGAGGAGGAGTCCGCTTCTGAGGAGGCGGAGGTGGAGTCTGAGGAGGAGTCCGATTCTGGCGTCGCAAGTCTGGCTACAGCATACGTTGCCAAGTCCATCTTCAACACTGAAGACAATGACTTCATCACCGACACCGATGCAAATGACAAGGACTACTCCGCTCCTACCTACTGCTTCATGGCACGCGGTGCCAAGGTAAACACACGCACTACTCACTATCAAACATCTAGTGACGATGACTCTGATTGTGGTTCAAAACCCAGCTACAAAACACTTGCTAAAATTGCAACTGAACAACAGAAAGCCATGGAACATATTCAAAAACTGTTAGACAAAAGCGA